GGGTGGAGGGGGCCGGGACCACGCGCTGGCGGCGGAGGGATCCCCCGACCCTTCCCCCCATATAAAGAGATACAATGTTTCCTTTTATGGAGAGGCCGCTCCTTATATGGTGAGCCCCAGCGCCCCCATACCATTGGTCCGTGGTTCCGGCACCTCCGCTCCCCATTGGTCCATGGAGGGAGCTCATTTACATAGACATACCGAACGCTGGGCTGTCATCCCGCGTCAGACCGCGATTCCGAAAGGGGAGGAGCTGATGCCTCTTAAAGGCGCAGAACCGGACGCACAACTTGGCCCCTCTAAAGTAGAGAAAGGTAGAGAAGCGGCAGAGACGTCTTGCGGAGGAGGAGGAGCTGGAAGGAAGCCTTCGGAAAGTCCCGGAGGGCTTGAGGGGTTTGCAATTATGAGAATATGCACCCCAGTCCCCGCGAAGCTGTGCAGGGGCTGATAGGAGCACTTCTCAAGCCTTCCGAAGGCGGCAAAGTTCCCGGGGAGCAGAGGGCTGGGGTGCTGAGACCTGGCGCCGGGCGCCTGCACGCCTCCTCTTCCCTCCCCCGACTTCCCGTCCCTCCCTCTTCTTTCCAAGGGATCAACACTTTCCCACCAGCCTGGCTCCCCGACCTCATTCATCATCCTCTGCACTGGGGGTCTTTGGCAGTCATGCATCTGGAAAGGGCGGGCGGGGAACCGTCGTCTTCCCGTCCCTGATGGGGGCAGGGAAGACAGGGAGACCAGTGAAGACTTCCAGCTGCAACCTGGGCTGGAAGAGGGGTTGGTCCCGAGGAAAAAGTACACCCCGCAGCCAATGAGAAGGCCTAGAAAGCGTAGCGGGGACTGAAAGTTGAAGCACGAGGGCAGGCAGCAAGTACTTGCGCGCACGCGCCCTTCCCTACGTTCCAAGGTGGTGGCGCCCTCCTGTGATCCCAGCACTCTGGGAGGCTGAGGCAGGGGGATCACAAGCTGGAGCCCAGCGTGGGCAATAGAGCAATTTACTGCGGTCCTGTCCCAAAATAAAAATAAAAAGGACTGAGGATGTGCAAAGGCCCTGGGTTCAAGCCTCATTACTGAAAAAAAATTTTTTTTAAAGGCAAGAACTGGTGCGTTGCAAAGTCTGGGTTGGATCTGCGTCTGGATCTCCGCTCCAAAGCAGTGAAAACAGCTCGGACTTGGCCATCAGAAAATTGCTCAGATCTGGAGTCTGTCCCTTGCTAATCTTGTGCCGGGAAACCACTGATTTAATGTCAGGAATTTCACATTTGCCAGTTTGGTACCCACATCACAATGTCCTGAATGCAGATTTAGTGAGGTAAGACGAAGCACACAGTGGTCATTGAATAGTTAATAGGAGCTACCTGAGGTCAGTCACCAAATCCCAGGGCTAAATATCCGGTGACATCTGGTGTGTACATGGGGATGGGAGTCATGAATCTGCCTCAAAAACTGTTAAGATTAAATAAAGCAGCTGGTTGTGACTTATCAGTGGTGCTGGTAGTGGTATAAATTTAGTATACAACCAGCAAAGCATAAATTAATGGGTATCACAAAGAGGAAGGCTAAGTATTGTTTGTTTGCATTATATATAGGTTTTACCATGCGAAATTACCATTACATAAAGTCAAGAGTGGAATATTGTCAGTTTCATAATGTTAGATGGCATGTTTGTACTGGATGGCAAGGTCGGCTGCATCTCACTGTCACAGTCAAAACAACTTTGGAAAATATGGAAATAAAGAACTACATTCAAGAGGTTTGTGAAATACATCAATTGTGTGTCTATACATATTTGCATCCATACACATGCATATACACAGAGCCTTGTTCATCAAACTCCTAATAAGAAATTAGATAGCCAGGGATTTAGCTCAGTGGTTCTACCGCCTGTCTCACAAGCACAAGGACTCAAGTTCAATACCCAGTACCAAAAAAAAAAAGAAAAAGAAAAAGAAATTAGAAACCTTCCTCTTCCCCATTTCCCAATAGTTTTTTAAGTCCTAACTTATACAACAGGTAGTTAAATTTATGGAATGTGTTAGCTAAAAAAGAACAAGTCAAATAGATTCTAAAAGGTTCTGAAGGCCACAAAAATGATGTTTGGGGCTGTTTGGTCTAAGCAGCACACAGTCTTACAACCACAGCCCCAGACCTCTAAAGACAGTTTATTTTTAGACACCCCCCGACCAGTTCCTGGGGTACTGTACAACAGCAGTTAACTGCTGTAGAGCTTTCCTGACGAGAGGGAGGCACTGGATGACTGCAGGCGTAGGGGTCAAAAAAAAATCCAAGTCAAAACCAGACTCATAGATGTATTTTATTTGGGCCTTGCAACATTTAACAGATTAAGTTAGTCATGGTAGTGCACGCCTGTAACCCCGGCACTTGTAGACAGAAGCAGAAGGAGTGCTAGGAGTTGGAGGTCAGCCTAGGATGCATAGTCAGTTCAAGGCCAAGATACTGTCTCCAAAAATATGAAACAAAAAATCAGGAGAGTATACACAAAAATCTGACTAGCCACTGGGGATGTGGTCAAGCGTTTGGCCAGCACTCTGGAGACCCTGAGTTTGATCCTCCAGCACCAATAAAATAAATAAATAAATAAAATCTGAGTATCTGACTTCTTTCAGAATAACTGGGATATTTTCCTCTCTTTGTTCCCTAGCCTGCAACACAAGCAGTTTTGTTCTTGCCATGGCTGGCTGCCTCACCATAGAACCAAAGCCATGGGGGCCGATCACTCAGGGACTGGGCCTCCTGAGCCCCTGAGAGTCTCAAGGATGAGACCCAAGTTGTAATCATCTGGTGCTCCTGTCCATCTCAAACCTTGAAAAGACTCTGGAAGCACAAGAGAATCCCAGCCACATGCCTACTCCACAGCACCCCCACCGACCTTTCTTTCTCCTGATTGTGTGTGTGTGTGTGTGTGTGTGTGTGTGTGTGTACTGAACAAAGGGCCTGTACTGAACTACACTACCAGTTTGTGGTTTTTTTTGAGACAGCCTAAGTAGCTTAAGTTGCCCAGGCTGAGCTCAAACTTATAATCCTCCTGCCTTAGCCTCCAAGAGTACTAAAATTTTTATCATCCAAACAATAACAAAGCAAAAATTAAGCCTGTTTTTAAAAATCAGTCATAACACTCTAAAACTGCTTCCTGTGGAATTGGAGTTCCCCAGGGATTCTTCACAGAGGACCATTGAGGGTCTTGATGGTGGCAACTGATTAGAGGGAACAGAGACCAATCATGAGCCAGTGTGTGCAGGAAAAGCCTGGAAAGCTGTGCTTCACCTCTGCAGGGTGGGCCCAGGACAGGAGGGCATGTATTTTGCTTTACTTAAATCTGTACTGTTTGATATCCTCCACAATCCACATTTTAATTTTTTTTTCTCTGAAACTGAAGCAAAAATAGAAATAGCTCAGAGGAAGACTACATGGATTTTAGTGGTTGGCTGCACAGGGAGAGGGAGGCACAGAGAAGGCTCATAATGAATGATTTGGCGGGGGCAGGGTCCCAGGGATGGAACTCAGGACCTTGCGCTTGGGAGGCAGGTGGCGGCACCACTGAGCTAAATCCCTGGCCCCATGAATGATGATTTTGAGTAAGGCTGATTCTTTTCTGGACAATGAGGCCTTCATGGAAATAAGGAAGTTAGGTGGCAGAAGTTTGAGGAGAGGTACAGGGTGGGATTAGAAAATACAGTGAGTGTTTAACAACTGAATTACAGTGATAGACACATTGGCTTTAACTCCCCTCAAAATCCTCCCCCTTGCTATGAACACACTTGTCCCGTTGCTCTTGCCACTTTCTTTTCTTTTTCTTTTTATAAATTTTTTTCTTTTTCTTTTTTTTTTTTTGGGTACCAGGGATCTAACTTGCGCTTGTGAGGCAGGCGGCTGCACCACTGAGCTAAATCCCTAGCCCATCTTTCCACTTTCTGAAGCAGCTGTGGGAAACCTTTCTCGTGTCACTAGTTGCGCTATCGGGGCTGTTTCAATGTCCTGCATCCATTTAAAATGTTTACCTTTTCCTGGTCATTTTGATTTGGGGCAAGAATCAGAAGTCACATGGCGTCAGATTCAGTGAATAAAGTAGAGGAGGACATACCATCTTCACAGAAATT